AGCAGACTGTCTCATTTCAGTTCAGCCTTTGCAAGTCTAAGTAGCCTTCGAAGGACACGCCTTTGTAGACTGCGTGCTTCGAAGGACCCAGCCCCTGAATTGGGACACACTGCCAGTCTTTTAGGGACGAGTCTACTTATGGATAATTTCCATAACTGGGGAGCTACATGTTCATCAAACAAGTGCTGGAAAGGTTTAGTAAGAACAGATTTAAGCTGAAACACACAGCTCTTACGTATCCTCCCCCTTAGACCTTCAGGACCTGCAGCCTTATTCAGCTGGATTCTTGCTAGACCAGCTGCAACGTCAGACTCATTCAGCATTACAGGAGTGGAATCAACAGTGGCATTAGCCACACCCCCACCAGCTGTAGCAGTCCCAGTGAACTCTGGGAGATCAAGCTTTATAGGCTCTACAATAAAAAGCTCAATATCTTCAGAGGTTTAGCACAATATTTCTTATAGTTGCGCATTGCTTTAGCAATTTATATTCTTCTTTTTATTCTTATTTTTCTGCCATTTCTTTGCTGCGTAACTCGTCCCGCAGTTTTCGAGATATCGACACCGTTCCAGCTCCAGATTGTCCGGCCTGATTGTGTGCTGCATGCTTGTATACAGCTTTTTGATCAGATGTCACCGAAATGTTGGCAACATGCCACAGCGATGTCACAATGGGCCCCTGTCTCACACACACATACAAACTCACGCATGGAGCCCAGTGTCTCACATGCTCACAGCCAAATGCTCAGCAGTGTCAGCACACACAATGATTTGTTAAGGTGGAACTGCTTTTAAGGTGGAATTACACTTAGGTAGCACTGAATTTTAAGGTGGACCTTCTTTTAAGGTAGCACTGAGTTTACACTGACACTGAAAGTGAGGTGGAACTGCATTTATGTTAGCACTGAATTTAAGGTGGAACTTCAGTTAACATCGCACTAAATTTATGAAGGCACAGAATTTAAGGTGGAACTCTCTTTAAGGTAGCACTAAAATTAAGATGGCACAGAATTTAAGGTGGAACTACAATTAACATTGCAATAAAATGAAGGTGGCACAGAATTTAAGGTAAATAAACACACAACACACACTCAACAAACACACTTCACCCCACACACAATAAACACACAACACACACTCAACACACCCTCACCACACACAATAAATACACAACACACACTCAACACACCACACACAATACACACCTCACCCCACACACAATAAACACACTAAACACCCCACACCACACACTCAACAGACCCACACACACTCAACACACCCATACACACACACACACACACAATTAACACACCACACACACACTCCACCCAATTAACACACAGCACATACTAAACACACCTAACAAACACACACACTCAACGCACCCACTCCATACACACTCAACACAGCCAACTCGCAGTTTTCAAGATATCAACACTGTTCCAACTCCAGATTGTCCGGCCTGATTGTGTGCTGCGTGCTTGTATACAGCTTTTTGATCAGATGCACAGAGTCAATGTAGCGATGGAACTTTGCAGAATTTTTCCCTATAAAGAATGAAAGGGGTGTAAAATTGCATGCCAATCTAAGGTACTTCTGCTTGCCCGAACGACACAGTTTCACATACACTCTCTCAGGGCCGGCCTCCAAGCTTGAATTCACTGTTGTTCTGACCCTCATCCATTTGTCGTTTTATTCCATCCCTCGAGTCCCATGCATTTTTGCCACCACTTAAACTCTATTACTTCTTTGCCCGACAGTCAGCAAAATGTGTGTACTCATTCAGGGTACATCTCCAAGCTCTAATCCACAGCCACACTGACCCGCACTCCTCTATGTGTCGTTTTTTCATCCCTCATTCCTCCCATAGAGTCCCAGTCATTTTCTAACCCAACAAAGCTTCAATCTGTCTTTTTCCCAACAGCCACCAAAGTACATGTACTCATTCGGGGTAGGTCCACAAGATCTAATCCACAGCCATACTGACCCACACTCCTCTATTTGTCATTTTATGATCGCTCATTCCTCCCATATAGTCCCATTTATTTTCGCCACCACTCAAACTCTATTACTTCTTTGCCCGACAGTCACCAAAATGCGTGTACTCATTCAGGGTAGGTCCCCAAGATCTAATCCACAGCCATACTGACCCGCACTCCTCTATTTGTCATTTTTTCATCCCTCATTCCTCCCCTAGAGTCTCATTCATTTTCTAACCCAACAAAGCCTCAATCTGTCTTTTTCCCAACAGCCACCAAAGTACATGTACTCATTCAGGGCAGGTTCCCAAGCTCCAATCCAAAGGCATTCTGAGCTGCACTCCTCTTTCTGTCATTTTTTTTTACCCCTCGTTCCTCTCACTGAGTCCCATTAATTTTCGCCACCACTCATACTCTATTACTTCTTTGCCCGACAGCCACAGAAATGCATGTACTCACTCAGGGCACAGTCCCAAGCTCTAATCAACAGCCATCCTGACCCGCACTCCTTTCTCTGTCATTTTTTTCATGCCTAATTCCTCCTATAGAGTCCCATTCATTTTTGCCCAAACCTTAGCTGTTTTTCCATTGTCAAAAAGACACCGAAATGCATGCACTCACTCAGGGCAGGTACCCAAGCTCTAAATCACAGTCAGACTGACCCGCACTCCTCTATGTGTTTTTTCATCCCTCGTCCCTCCCATAGAGTTCCATTCAGTTTCTAACCCAACAAAGCCTCAATCTGTCTTTTTCCCGACAGCCACCAAAGTACATGTACTCATTCAGGGCAGGTCTCCAAGTTCTAATCCACAGCCATACTGACCCGCACTCCTCTCTCTCATTTTTTCACCCCTCGTTCCTCCCATAGAGTCCCATACATTTTCACCTATACACCAGCAATGTTTATTCCTTCACTTAACTCTGTCTTTTTCTCAACAGCCACCAAAGTACATGCATGCATTCAGGTCAGGTCTCCAAGCTCTAATCCACAGCCATACTGACCCACACTCCTCTATGTGTAGTTTTTTCATCCCTTGTTCCTCCTATAAACTCCCATAGTAACCATTCTGCGTTTCCTTTAAGAAATGCACTTTTCTAGTTATGATTGTTGTTCTGAATCTTTTTAGAGGCTGAAAAATTGATCAAGGCTATCTGACAGTGTGAACCGGTCCCCCTTTATGTGACTTTTGTACAGCCCTGTATGCATGTATCTACAGTCATGTGCAAAAGTTTTGGTGCCCTAATGTCCCTGGTCAAACAGTTTGTGTTTATTGTGTTTATTTTTGTCTGTTTATTTTTATTCATTTCATATTTGTTTTTTTTCCTGCAAAAACAAATATTAAAAAAAAACAGAAAGTACAAGTACAAGTACTTTCTGGTCTTTGTTGTTGTTGTTTTTTTACTTTCTTTGCCATCCTTCATGATTCCTCTTTCGTCCTTATTGTGCAAACAATAAAATAAAAAAATAATTAAAATAAAAATAACGTTTTGTTGCTTCTCTAAGTGTAAATGAGTGAACACATCCTCTACAGAGAGCACACTACCACACATTTTAATACACAATTACTATTACTCTTATTATTATTATTATTATTATTATATTAATAAAATGTGGCATTACTATGTTTTTTTTTTCATATATATTAGGGGTGGGAATCTTTAGGCGCCTCATTCAGATTCAGAGAGCTGCGATGCGATTATAAAATGATTTGCGATGCATCTCGATGCATCTTTTTTTTCTATACATGTTTTCTATTTTCTTACTGTGTGAGGACTTGGTAGTTTTAAAACAAAGTATTTGTAATGATCCATAATGCATTTACATCCAATATCTTTTCTTAATAAATTAAATGTGTGACGTGGCAAGTGAACTGGAAGGCTCTCATTCACTGCTCTGGTTTGGAGCACGAGACACTGCTGCCACTCATCTGTGATAAAATGCGCTGTTACGGTGAAATGAGGTGAAAATATTAGCAAACAAAAAAGGAAAAGAGAAAGACAGACGAACATTTAGATATGAATGGACTTATTCGCATTTATAAGCAGCGCAGTTGGTTTCCTGGTACGTTAAATCTGCAACGAGAGACTGTCAAACACTAAAAAGTTGCGAAGATGAAGTCGCTTCTCTTTCTAATTTTCCTGTTCCACCTTAAATGGTGCCACAATTACATTCAGCGTCTCAGTCAGAATTTAAGGTGGAATTGGAAAGTTCAGCAAGAAGCTGGAGAATGAGAAGCGACTTCAGCCTCGTAAAACAGCCGAAAGCTGAAAGACATTTTACAAGAAACTATTCAACTTTTTGAAGAAAAGTTTTCCGGCGGAGATGGAGGAAAAGCGGCTATAGCTAAAGCTTAAAGGAGAGCGGAGTAAATCTGCACTCTCGTTTATATTGTTTAGCCTAAACTAGGACATTATCACATACTGAGACATACTGGACATTAAATGTTGTGGCTCCCAAGTTGGTTTGATTTTGTTGAAAGGTCAAAATGTCTCTTCTGATCATTTGTGTTGTGACTCCTGACCTAACCTGGCTTTAATGCAGAGGGAGCTGGTCGGATTTCTCACTCATCCAGCAGTGTTTTTGTTATGTGCCGCCACAGACTGTCCGGGCGCTGCACTTACCCACTTCCAAGCTCCGCCTTTTGCGTTCCGTCAACATTACGATATAAATTAAATATTTAGAAAATCGATTTTTGACATTTCTGAATCGATTCAGAATCGTTCCCGTCCGCATCGCGATGCACCTAAGAATCGATTTTTTCCCGCACCCCTAATATATATATATATATATATATATATATATATATATATATATATATATATATATATGAGAGAGAGGGAGAGAGATTCTGTCTAACAGATTCTCTAACAACAAAAACTGGACAATATGTCATTTCAGCATTTTGTACTTTCTTCTACTTCTTTATTATTTACTTATATTGTGCAGTCAAATTATGGAAATGTACTATATACATACTACTGAAACATAAACTTAAAAAAAGACTTGTAATTTACAGGGAGATTCAGTTTAAATTATGACAGATTTAATGCACAGGTGTTAAGGAATTCAGCTGCTGTGTGAACTTAACTGGAATGCAGCTACTTGATTAAAAACTTATTATAAAGCATAATATAAGAACCCAGTTAAAATGTCAAATTCAAACATTCAAATAAGATATTATTGTGCAATAATTTAGTATCTGATATGGACAAAATTCACAGATTTTGTATTTGCAGCACAGTTTTGAAATTGTGTTAATTGTTAATTAATGTTTATTATGTTTGTGTGCATATGTGTGTGTGTGTGTGTGTGTGTGCGTGTGCAAGTACAGGTTACAAATGTAATAATTTCATAAAATACAAAATTTTGTATGCTTTCTCAATATATATTTAAAATTATGTAAAGAAAAAACAAATTATACAAAACATAAAAAATGGTTTATACATTTGAACAATTACAACAATTCATATATTAAATCTTTATGTTCTAAATTTCTTTCATTTCTAAATTTTACTTTATATTTTTTTCTTTGTCTGAGCAGAGATGATCAAATCAAAGTAAATGAAACTGCTGTACTATTATAGAAAATACAGTGTAAAGAGAACATGAGCTAATTTCCCATTAATGTAGAGAGAATTTAACCACACAGTCCAGTTTAGGGAGAAATTTCAAAAAAAAATTTCACCATCAATTTTTTCCATGGCCCGCCTCACCCACCTAAAGCCGGGGTCCACACACACCCTAGCATTGTTCTTCTTAATGGTAAAACTAGAAGGAAAAAAAAGACAAAAATAAGGTGATAATTCTGTAAAATATATATGATATGTATGATGATAAAATTGACATTAAAGTTAAAGTTCAATAAACGTCTGTTGCAAAAGATCAGGGGGTGAAAACTTACATCACTCCAGCTCTTCTACAGTCAGGTCTCGTTTCTTCATAGTCTTTAATGGCACTGATATGGATGGGTCTGGTATAGAAATTGAAACAGCATTTCTTTGGTGAATTGTAATCTGTGTGAACAGAGTAATAGTAATATTCATCATCATCATCATCATCATAACAATAAAACTTTGCTTTAATAAAATTCAGTTTACCTAAATATTGAAGGATCAGGTAAACAACAGTTAAATAGTATATAAAACATTTACATTGTGTAACAATATTTTTCTATCTATATTTTGTTAATTTTCTCAATAGATTATTATAAAAAGCAAAGAAGTGAAGTGTTAAATCAGGATTTTGAGGCAGTAAAATTTTAGGTAAGATAAACAACAAAAAGCACAGAATCTGTTCAAATACAATACTAAATAAGTGTGAAAAGTGTTTCAGTTGCTCTGAGATTTTCAGCCAGAGAATTCCCAAACTTAATAATAACATTAAATAAAAAAGAATATCTATTGTATGAGCCTCATTCGTAAACTAAAATCTCTCTTATATCAGTTTAACTGTAGAAATTCTGAGACAATCACAGGTTTAATAGCATCTAGATCATTAAATGAGTCTATAGCTGAGTGTCATCTGCATATTGATAAAAGCAATTGTTATCTTTATTGTTTATGCCAAAAATTATTAGAAAAAGAAAAAAGGCCCTCAAATAAAAAGGGAATTCCATTGACCTCCATTCAGATTGGTTTAGTTTTGAGAAGATTTGAATCTAAAATGTATATTTAAAATCCAATCATATAAAACTCAGAAGACACGTATTTGTGTTGTAGTCATGGCGACCCCTGGTTCCTATCACCACCACTGTAAAGACATCTGAACCATTTCACACCAAACCACTCTGAATCACTCTGTTCACAATTCAGTGATCAGATTTGAAATGGAATAGACATTTATGTTTTGCTTAATGCCAAGTGTCTCTTAGTTAGCTATTTCGGTTAACCTAGCTGCCAACCCATAGCTTTCAGATACGGTTGCAGTTTCGGAGGTAAACGACCACATAAGGCTGTGATTCAGGAAATTTAGTCTATTACAGGTTTACAATAAACTCATAGCACAGTAATTCCACCAAAAAAGTAACTAAATTACTAGTAGTAAAGTAGTTTTTGAATAAGCTACTTGTTTACTCTAAAATGAGTAATTTCATTTTTTAATACTTTCAAATTTTTATTAGGGTGGCACAGTAGGTAGCGCTGTCACCTCACAGCAAGAAGGGCCTGGGTTTGATTCCCCGGCCGGGCGACTCCTTTCTGTGTGGAGTTTGTATGTTCTCCCTGCGTTAGCGTGGGTTTCCTCCCGCTGTCTGAAGACATGCAGTCAGGTTGGTTGGAGATGCTAAATTGCCCCTAGGGGTGTGTGTGAATGTATATGTTTGTCTGTCTGCCCTGTGATGGACTGGTGAACTGTCCTTACAGGAAACACCCTGGGCTCCAGCTCCCCCCCACGACCTAGAAGGATAAGCAGCTTAGAGTGTGTGTAAGTGTACTTTTATTACAATTATTGTAACAGTACTTAAGTAGGGATTTTCAGTACTCTGTCCAGCCCTGTAATATCACAACATAAATAACAGGTTCCAAATGCAACGGCTGCTATTGAAATCAACTCTAAACCTTTATCTGCTTGTAGGTGAAATAATGAGGGGAGACCACATGCCTGGCCTGCTGAGCAGCCAACTGTCCATTTTTTGAGCCCCTAAGAAGGGGGTGGTTCCTACAGAGTTTAACTGATTTGGACGCAAATTACATCTGAAAGCTCATATAAACTATTCAATTTTAACTCCAGTGGGCTGGTAGACATCTAACATAACAATAACTTTGTCTACATCACAATGTTTATGGATCTGACTGTATGAAAGAGGCTCAAATCAGAATTGAAACATTTGGATTGTGTGTTTTTTACTGTTTACACCACAACTCAAAAACAAATCTGTGTCACATGTGAAGACTTTTATCTGCAGTGTGAATAGAGTCTTAGACTGTGTTCTTTCACATCTAGTTTGTTTGTTAAAGTCCAAGCCAGAGGTTTGGTCTTTGTGACAGTGTATTTATTTTATTAGGTTAGATTGGTTTCACTCTACAATAAAGCCCAAATGACACATGTTTGTATATTGGTAAGAAATTTTTGAGGGATGCATGTGTCCTTTTGCTCTCATATTCACCACAATTTGAGCCAAAAAACTCCCACTTTGCAGGAAAAAAGGACTAAGATCCTTGGGTACCACAGTTAAAACAAAAATAATAAAACTTACTTTATATCTGCTTCTTTATGGTTGGTTGTCAGTGTGAATGTTACTAAACAGGATGCTGATGCAGTATGTTACACAATCCATGTACCAAAGGCATTGCTTCACTATTATTTTATGGCTCATAATAGCAGCAGCTTGTGCTGGAGGAATAGTATAAGCCCAAAGAGTGAGATGTTGAAACAGGGAGATTATGTAAAAATTACAGAGCTGACGGGCTGCTAGAAGAAGAGAAAATCATGCTCTGATGTTGATTTCCCTAATTTGGTGCGGACCATCACAAAAAAAGCAAGTGAACTAAACCACAGTCCACTTGTAAGTGAACCGAGGCAGGCCATTTTTGGAGTGCTGTCCAGCAAGTTTCCCTGTCCCGACACTTAATAGAAAGTAATAAATGAAACAAGTAGTAAAGTAAGTAAGTAGTAAATTATATAATCACAACAGATACAATCATTCAGGGGATAATCTGTGGTATGAAAGAGCCAAAAACTCGAAGATGGACTTTAACTTACTCTGTCCCTCTGCACAGGACTGAAGGTAGAGGATGACCAGCAGAGCCAGGAGGAGAGAACGAGGACAGACGCTCATGTCTGCAGCTTCAGCTCCAGGAGATGATGATCTATGATCTGAACTGAACTGTAAAGAGGAAAATACCATCTGACCCTCAGCCTCTAATCTGAGCCAAACATCTCTGCACTGACAAAGCTCAGCACTGATAAATGAACAAAAGACAATATGAGCTCTAATATCACCCTCTAATGGCACTCTTAGTAACGGTGGATAAAATGGTCATTAAAAACTTCTTTGTTGTTAATTAGCTGAATTTCAATTACTGTCACTGCTAGAAATACTGATGAACAAAATGTGACTGAATATTAACTATATTTCACATTTTTAAGCCCACCTTAGAGCAGTGAACTTCAGGAGGTCATGAGTTTGAATCCTGGTGATGCCTCAGCTCTGAGTAGTGAGGAGTCTAAGAGGAGGGAGCCCCCCACACTGTAAGTCGTATCTTGTTGGTGGGAAGAGGAAATTACTAAATTGGGGCAGGAACAGAGTAAAAATCAGTTAGAATTTTAAGCAATTTCAGGTTATAAGGAGGCTGCCACATTCACTGTTTTTCTGAGTGAGCTCAACTTAAACTGTAGTTTATAGGTTAACCTATACAGAATTAAAGTTAGGAGAACATTTGAATAAACTAAAAAAAACTCTGCATGCTTAAATTACAACATCGACCTGGACCAATCTAGACCCTTTCCAACGTCCACCATAGACTGATCCTGCACCCCTTTAAAGTGCAGGCATGCAGTGCTGGTAAACTGGTTGTTCTGTTGTTCTTTCTAGCTAGCAGTGTGTATTTATTGCTCTGTATAAATATGCACTTATTAAGCCAACAGAAGTTCAGCCCTTCCCACTCACACTGAAGTTATAAGGAGTGTTTAAACCCAGACTACTTTTTTGAATGGGCAGCCAATTGGAACAGAGCTCATTTACATATATCAGTCTTAAAGGCTGTAATTGTATGGATAAAGAGAGGCTTTAAAAATGGTCATTTAGAAATGACTGTTTTTTTCTAAGAACCCACACAAATGTTACAAGTTGAGCAAAAATAAAATGCAAGAAAATGCAGGATATGGGCCCTTTAATGCTGTGAGTTCCTGCCAAAGTTATTACAGGCCTACACTACCCCCTTTTTTCCTACTGAGGAAGGAAAAGAGAGACGAGAAAACACTGGAGAGTCACTTTCACAGATCACAGTCTAACGGTTCATTACTTACACAGGTTCATTAATTATAACTTAATTTCTGTATCAGACTCACAATCACATGTTTAAATGCTGTGAAATCAGCTGGTTTATGGACAGAACTGAACAGAAGCTTCTCAAACTTCCCTGAACAAACACCACACAGTCAGATCCAGACCCTCACACTGCACACAGAGTTATATAACACACTGATACACAGATAAACAGGATCATAAATCAGCTACAGAGATTAAACAACAACAGATAACAACAGAGAGATAAACATACAGATATAGTTGAGAGTATTTGTGAGTAGCTGTCACTCTTATCATGACAATCTCTACTAACAGTGACAGTTTATGAAAAAATAATGGTCGTAACTTTCCATAAAGAATGTAATGATACTGGAGCACATCTGCTGAATGTATCTAGAACCCTTTCAGAGAGGATTAAAGCTCAGATGGCTTTTAGAAAGTGATATTTTTGTTGGATACTGAGCAAAACTTACCTTCACAAAGTGTCCAACAGGCCTCACTGTTTAATCTCGGCAAAAACAGAAGAGAAATAATAAACATGAGAGCCACCTAGAGGCAAAATTGTGAAATTCACCCACACAATCAATTTCTGTTTACATTTTTTCACCTTACCTAAAGCAGTAATTGTGCTCAGTATTTATGCATCAAGCAGTTGTTTTTAGGAACATGAATGCTGTCAGAAGGACGTGCTGTTGGGAGAAAAGTGCAGTTCTGTCAAATCATGAATAAATGTAGCTCACAGAGTAATAATCTTAATAACATCAGTAACATCAGTGACATTACATCAGTGTTAATCTGTTAAACTGTGAGGGTCTGTATGAGACCCCCACTTCAACTCTTCACTCTTACAACTACAGAACTTCCGTTACTGAATGTTATCACAGTTACTAAATAATAGTTCATAGCAGATACTGAATAATTTATAGTAGTTACTGAACCAGTATAGTGATTAATAATTCATTGTAAATATTGAATAATTCATAGAAATTACTGAATAATTCACAGTAGATACTGAAACATTTATGGTAGATACGGAAACATTATAGTAGATATTGAATAATTCATAGTAGATACTCAATAATTCATAGTAGATACTGAATAATTCATAGTAGTCGATGAATAATTCATAGTAGATGCTGAAACATTTATAGTAGTTACTGAATAATTCATAGTAGATACTGAATAATTCATAGTAGATGCTGAATAATTAATAGTAGATACTGAATAATTCATAGTAGTCAATGAATAATTCATAGTAGATGCTGAATAATTCATAGTAGTCAATGAATAATTCATAGTAGATGCTGAATAATTCATAGTAGCTACTTAATAATTCATAGCGGATACTGAATAATTCATAGTAGAAGCTGAATAATTCATAGTAGATGCTGAAACATTTATAGTAGTTACTGAATAATTCATAGTAGATACTGAATAATTCATAGCAGCTACTTAATAATTTATAGTGGATACTGAATAATTCATAGTAGCTGCTGAATAATTAATAGATACTGAATAATTCATAGTAGATACTAAATAATTCATAGTAGCTACTAAATAATTCATAGTAGATACTGAAAACTTCATATTGGTTAGGGAATTATTTATAGTAGCTAAAAATAATAGTAATGAACTAAATTACAGCTACATATCACTACATCATCTGCGTGAGAACCTTGATTATTATCTTCTCCGTTTTGTTGGTACAGTATTAATTCACTCTTTCTTTTGTATATTTGAATGTTTTTTGTCAGACAAGCAGCAGAACATGAATTGTGGGCTTGTGAGTCTGCTAGTGTTAGCTTTAGCATTAGCTTGTGTCCTATGCAGAAACTGTGAATAAAACAGCATGTAGCAATAGCACGTAGCCTGCAGTCTGACAGATCCTGATCCTTGGTTAGTTAATGTCACACAGTGATTTCTTTTGCTTTACTTTGTAGTTTTTGTTATTATAGATTTGTAAACCACAGTTTTAAACAATGTACTGGATGGTGTGAAGTAAAGTGAGTTAGTTTGTTAAGGCTCCAGGGTTGGGAGGGTTACTGTAAACATATATTCTGGTACAGGTTACTGATTAAAAAGATTACAAATGTGATCTGTAATTAAAGTGATGTAATCTGAAGACTTTCTGGTAGTTTTTTTATTAAGCAAAGAGGAGAGAAAACAATTTCAGACTTTAATCAAAAACAAATCAAATAGAAGTGCGCAGAAACAATGTAGGTGACAGTTATCTATGCTTCATGTGTGCTATTTTAAGCCTGCTTGAAATGATGGAATTACATGGATATTCAAGTAAGGCATCCATGTTTGGAATCAAATTACCTAAGAACACATGGCTAACAACCATGCTTAACATTACTACACACTGAAAAGCACACAGCATCTCAAAATTTTTGTTTTTCATGAAATGCTGCTGCCAGTCAGCAACTCACAGCACTGCCTTTCATCATTTCCTCAATTACTGCATTAACTTAAACCCAGAAACCGAGCACTGAAAGCCATAGACACTCAATTTTCACAGAGAAGGCAGTCAGTCTGAAGTGCTAACCCTCCTTTTCACCTCTACTAACGTTACTAGCCTCGTCACATTTCACTTCGTACCTGTTCACTCGAAAACAGCACGTTTGTGAAGAATAAATTATCTGATACCAAATGTAATTAATCCACTAAATTTATTAAATGTGATATTGAGAAAGTTTTATTCCATTAAGATCAAACAAGCACAGGCAGAATATAACATTGAAAACCTATCCTGAAATTGAGATGAACTTGAGCTCGGTCCATTCTGCTGCACGATGCCACGGTGCTTCTCCACCAGTGTGTGGTAGAGGTCACTTAGTAATCAGTAATCATTAGTAGCCATTATCATTTCCAAAGCAACCAAGGTTTGTTTGCCAAGAGGCAAATAGCCCCCTTTCTCAGGCTAAAACCCTGCAGAACTGTTCGAATGGTGGAACAATAAATAAACGCAGCTCGCCGTTCTCTCTTCAACTTTTTTTGGCTTACATTTTGCTGGGTCCAACTTTCAAGCCAAATACAGCTGATACAGCCACCCAATCAGCATCAGAGCTGATGTTTTGAATAAATAAAGCCAATCAGAAAATCATGAATATGTGATATATTATAAAGGAATGTGTAAAATGAACCCTTGTGTGGTGTTGGGGTCTGTGGTTTTCAATGTTTATCAAAAGAAAAAACAATGCGGTTTATTATTATTTCAGCCTCAGATTCTTGTCCTTTGCTCATTTTCTGTGAAAAACATATAAAATAACCCATTTTCAGTGCCTTCACTCTGTTCACCCCCCACACATTTATATTACACATGTGGTGTTGGGCTGAACCCGCGGGGAGTAAAAGTGTGGAGGTGCTGTGTCCTTCACTCTGTTCTCCTCCCACACGGCCTGCTGTTAGTGTGTGTGTGTTTGTGTGTGTGTGTGTGTGAGGGAGGACAACATGGACAGGCTGCTGACTGGCTACAGCTGCTAAAGGAGAACCCTATGCTGGACACTTGTGATATTTTGAACATCTGGTATTTTTACATAAATTGTTATGGCTGTATTGATTTAAAATACAATAATGCGGTGGGTCCAGCAGACCACTGAGTAACACATCAACACCACACAGGGGTTAAAAAAAACACACACAGTTAGAGGCCCTGAATTTCCAGGGCCCTGGGCTTGCATTAAATCGCCCAATATGGAAATGACCGATCAAAACTCATGGTTGATGTTTTTTTTTCTCTGATTTGCGAAGTGGAACGTGGAATATAAAAATATAAATGAGTGTAGTAAATAGGTGGGTATAAGTAGGTACAGGTAGAAATAAAGCCTCTGTGCAGGTACATTTTTCCATTCATCAAGATACAAACAATGTAAATGTTCCCTCAAAGCTTCAACAGTGGTTCTAAGGTCTGATTGTGAACCTTAAATAAGTTTTTCCAGGTGAAAAGTTCGTATTTGTACCTTTTCATAAACGAATGTTTTAAACAGAACAGTAAAATAAAAGCCTGGAGGCGAGACGGGGTGTGTGGAGTCAGTACAGCTTAGAACATATCATTTCAGTGGATTATGGTTCAGTTATGTTCCCTGACTAAAGGTACTGAGATGAGGGTTCCACCCCAGTGACAAGAGGGGCACTGCCCCAGTGACAGTCTAGGACCTTTATTTCTGAGAGCGCACACAGACTTATGAGTGGATGTCAGTATATGGATACAGATCAGGACCGCTGCACTGGTGTCCATGGTGTCCATGTATCTGTGTTCCAAGAAGAAAAGTTTTAGGGTTTGCCCTTAAGATTTGGCAGAACCAGATAAACTCAGTTGGGTCAGGTCTTATCGTTTTGGGTGCAGGTGGGGTTTGAGCTTCAGTTTCATGTTCAGGTGGATCTGTAGATGAGTCGGGCCTCAAGGTGTCAGGTGCAGGTGGAGTTTCAGCTTCAGTTTGACTATGAAGATCAACTGTTCTCATGGTGACCTGAACCACTTAAGGTCAGGATCTACACAGATAGTCTGACCTCTCTGAATGGTAAAGCTGCAGGAAAGAGAACATAAGTGTTTGTGTTGAACTGTAATGTTTAACTTTATACAACAGTTCCGGCCACGGAGGTGGCCAAGGAGGTGATCATAATGTTATGCCTGGTCGGTGTAAGCAAGCAAGGATCATAAATCAGTTGCATTCTTGTACAAAATTAAGCATGTATGCATGTCAAACTGGGGACTTTCTGGGTCAAAGTGCTGTGGAGGTCAATGTTCACCCTCATCTAACACTCTGAATTCAGCTCATTAAGGCCTTGCTAATTAGCTGATGAGCTGAATTAGCTGTGTTTAATGAGGCAGTGAGCTGAAGTCTGCAGTGTTTTGGCCCACAATGATTGGAGATTGACACATGTGATGTACACAATATACAATAGTTTGTGTGCCTGCTTAGTCCCACACATTTTCTAGAAAAACTAGACAAGAGATCAGTCCTGTTTTGGCCTATGAGTGATTTTGCCTCATTTTAGCTAAATATATAGGAAGTGTTACACACTGTTTACATGGCACCTTAATGACTAAGGCTTCAGTAATCTGCCTTTGTCCAACATTATGTTATGTATTATAACATTATGTATGTTTTCATCTATATTATATTAGATATTAAATATGGTGAGGAGAGAAGTTCAGTATGAATGTAAGACAGGATTACAACACCCAGAAACAGGTTAGGAGCTCCTGTAGGGGGTGCAGTCATGAAGTTCATTACAAATCATGAAAAAATACTATTAATTAATGGATTCACTTTATTTACAGCACTAGCTTTTTTATAATAGACTTTTTAAGATCATCGGCCGTTTCTTGCTTTCGTCAGTTCAGACAGATGTGTAAAACATCAGTTTCTCTCAACTTGTGGCACTTTCTATCCATAAATTCATATGTATAGCATCCAAGCAAAGCTAAAATAAGAGTTTGTGTAAGAATGTGTCCAGGTGTGTTGCTCTGTGAGATTTGTGTTTGGGTTTCAAATTTTGCAGAACCAGTTTGGTTCATTGACTCAGGCCT